CTCTTACTGAGTCGTCCTCTTTACGTCTTGTTGGATTATCGCTTACTACTGACCTTTCATGGAAACCATATATACAATCGATTGCTAAATTAGCTTCTGCTAAGGTTGCTTCTCTTTATCGTGCTCGCCATTTTCTTACTTCTGATTCCATTCTCTACCTCTACAAATCTCTTATTCGCCCCTGTATGGAATACTGTTGTCATATTTGGGCTGGTTCTTCTAACGATTCACTTTCTCTTCTTGACAAGGTCCAAAAACGCATTGTAAATGTTGTTGAACCTGGACTATCTGCTAAGCTTGAACCTCTTTCCCATCGTCGTAAAGTTGCATCTCTTTCTCTTTTCTACAAATACTATCATGGTCACTGCTCAAAGGAGTTATCATCTCTAGTTCCATCAACTAAAATTCATTCTCGTTTTACTCGTCATTCAGCTAAGTCTCATTCGTTTACTGTATCTGTCCCTGCATGCTCTAAAAACTTTTATTCATCTAGTTTTTTCCCCCGCACTTCAATCCTTCGGAACTCTCTCCCATCTTCATGTTTTCCTGACTCATACAACCTTCAACTTTTCTGTACAACCTTCAACAAGTCTTCTGTCAACCGTTTCCTTGCTCTATAACTCTGTTCTTTTTTTTTCCTAGTAACTCCCAACTTAATAGTGGTTGCTTGCAGCCTTGTTGGTAGTGAATGCAAATAAAAAAAAAAAAAAAAACACCCCAAATATAAAAAAAAAAAAAAAAAGATAAAAATAAAAACAACAGAAAAGCAAAACAAAATATACTAGATTGAAAAATACTATAAAAAAAAAAATTAGAAACAATGCAGTAAAAACATTAGGTATTCCAGTTCATATAAATACAGAAGATATAAAAATATTGTGTTCACTTAAAAATTATAAATGAGCATTAAATTCCCTCCATTTATTAACCCTCCCCAAACCTATTGTAATGTTAACGTAACCACCACAAATACAATAAGCAATATATGAACATTTATTGTTGCATCATCTCTCCCGACTATTAGAACCCGCAAACACTATAGTTAGGCAGGCGAAAGTATTGACATAAACCCAAAAGGTAATTGGTACTTTATTATGAACATATATATTGCTTTCAGAGTATAGTTGTTGAATAATGTATAAAATTTATTAAATAATACCTAACTGTTGAATAATAAAAAACAATTTTTTAAGTAATTTTGCTTTTAAAACCAGAAAATTGTTTATGACATTTTAATTACTTGAAAAAAGCAATACATAATTTTTAAGAACTAAAAAATACATGTAAAACCGGGTCAAAACAATTATCAAATAAAATTCAATAACTTTTTTATTATATTTATATTTGCATTTTTTCATTAGATGTTAAAAAAAAAAAAATACTGAAGAATATATAAATAAATATTAAAAAATAATAATAATCAAACTATCAAAATAATAAAGGTAAAAAAAAAAGTTTGCGGTTTTAGGCAACATCATAATAAAATCGCACACTCAAGAACATTAAAATCACACATTAATATTTTTAATTATTAATTTTTTCTTTACCATTTTTCTTAACACATTTTAAATTTAAAAAACTTTATTAATTTTTTTATATTTTTGCAACAAAAAAAAAATCAGTTTCACACAAAAGAGTTTGAATACTAAATTTAATAATATTTAAGAGCAATAAAATTTATTAAAAAATATTTATTACATGAAAAAACTTCAGTATTAAATTTAATGAATTCAAACTAAACTAAAAAATTCTAAATTTTCGTACAAAAACATCAACATTTGAAAACACTCAGTTATCATTCTGTTTCGCTTTGCATACAAAGTGTTTAATGCGTCAGATAAAAGGCGTTCACTTGTATAATTTTATGTACACCTGCTACAGATGCACTGGTAGCAGGCGTACATAAAATCATTGTTGAAATACAATACAATATTTGAAACACATGTTGATTTTGATGCCAAAAGTGTAAAAACATTTTGCTCATTTACTGACAATTTTATATAACCACTAATTTCTTTTTTTTAAATCTTAACTTCCGGAATCATCATCTTCATCGTCAATGATAACTTAAATTTTTTTGATTTGATTTTCACCTTTTTAACTGGAAATATATCACAAACTTTTTTTGTCAAATGAAATTCCAAAAAAATTCTCTAACGCATTTAAAATTTTTTTTTTTTTTTAAACTTCAATAATTTGGATCCAAAAAAGTAGCACATAAAAAAAAAAAAATTTTGTAATATACTGTAGCTTACAGGGCTGGCACAAGTAGGTTAAACATAGAGAGTGCCGTTAAAATTATAGCTGACAAGAAAAAGGAAAAAAAAATCCATAATTTTTTTTTTCAATTTTTTAAATTTATTTTAAAAGTAACTGTTCTGAAAATCTACATTTACCAACTTACTTATCTAAAAGAGTCAAAATGGCTTACTAAATGAGCTAAAGGTTTATTGACAAAATGTCACACACAAAACCAACTACCCATACCCTCACCCTCTTTGCGCTGGTATGTTATTAAATTCTTGGTATATTATTAAATTCTAAAGATATTTGTGTTTTACCATGTTTAATTTTTGGATTTTTTATGAAATATTTTTTTAAAGTATATCTTATAAGTTTTTATAAGTTATACTTTAAAAAAATTTATAAGTTATACCTTTGGCACTGAAAATTGAAAGAAAATTATTTTGATATTTTTTTATTTTTGAGGTATTATGCGGTAAAATGGTCATGTATTAGCAAACTTATTCAAAAATTCTAATAGAAATGATATCACGAACCCAAATTATTTATATTATACATTTATAAATTTCTTTAGTTGGACTATAAACAAAGTCAGGTAAATTTAATTAACTAAAAACTTAGTCGATTAATTTTAGTTAACAAAAAAGTTAGTTGGGTAATTTTAGTTAACCAAAAAGTTACTCGACTAATTTAAGTTATACTAAAAAGTTAGTCGACTAATTTTAGTTAACTAAAAAGTTAGTCGACTAATTTAAGTTAACTAAAAAGTTAGTCGACTAATTTAAGTTACGTTTTTTTTAGTTAAGTTTGTTACAATTTTTAGTTTTGGTCACTAATTTTAAAACTTCACATTTCTACAGCTACATTTTTATTTAAAGATGTAGCTGTAGAATTAATTCTATTTAAAATAACAATCACTTGAACTTAGTAATAAAATTCGAAAATTAGGAATGTTTTAGTGAGTTCTGAAGCTAAATTAAATTATAATATAAAAAATTTAAACAGGTTAGTTAAAAATTAAATGTACAAAATATTAAACATCTAAAATTACTTTGATGCTATTAAACCTACTTTTTAAATCTCCATTTTTAATCAGTTTTATTTTATTTTAGACTAATATTTTTCCAAACTGTGAATTAGAGCATAAGGTATTTATGAAAAAACTTTGTTGTGAATTATCTTTAGAAGAAAAGTGATGATTTGATTAAAAATGTAGAAAGTAATACTTCTAAAGCATAAGGTATTTTATTATTTACTTAAATAGTTTAAAAAGGTAGAAAATAGTTTAAAAAGTAGAAATATTCTATTGTAAACATTAAACAAGTGAAATAAAAAATAAATTATAAAAAAATTATTAACTTTAACTTAGTTCAAAATATTATTTTTTTTCAAAAAAAAAAATTAAGCATATTCTTAGACTTATGGAAATTTGATTTACTTATTAAATCTATATTTAACTTATTAAAAGAAATATTTTTCTCTTGCTTTAATTTATTGCAAAACAATTGAACTAAAAAATTAAATAAAAATATCAACTTAATAACTTTTTGAATAAAAAAAATTAATTATGCATAAAGTTTTAATAGTAAATTAGATCAAGAAGTAATAAATTAGAAAGAACATGGATTTAATAAGTTTAGTATTTCTTTGAGTTTACTTATTTTTTCATTTGATTTTATGTTTGATCTAAAGATAGAACATATTTTTGCAAAAATATTAAATTTAAAATAGCCTCCTCAACAGTAGTGGCCCTCTAGGCCTTAAGGAAGTGAATAACATTGAACTATAGTTTAAAAAAAAAAAATTAATGCACTTTATATAAATAAAACGTGATTTATCATCATTATGAATGGGGTATTAGATAGTTTTCCATAATCATATGTGGTTTAAATATTTCAATATTTGTATTTTTACTTTTACTTTCTTAGCCATCATGCTGAGTGAAAATAAATTACTAAAAGTAACATTGTAATAGTATTAAATATACTACTTATGCGGTGGTGGTGTAGTGGTAGAGTGCTTGCCTCATGAGGGGGAAGTTTTAAGTTCAATCCCCACCACGTCTCTGGTAGTACAGGGTTCAACTTGTTTCTCCGTGCAGCGCCTTGCTCATCAATGTTCATGTTTCGAACATTGTTATAGTTATAGATTTGAGAGAGGGCTGTAACCATAACTAAAGCAGCCTCCTCAACTGTAGTAGCCTTGAGGAGTCAAATTAAAATAAAAATAAATTGCACATTACATTATAACTGCAACTTAAGCTTTAAGCTGTATACAAAAGTAACTTTAGCCATTTTAAACCCCACCAAACAAGAATGATTTGATATATTATTTAAATATGAGATATATTATATTAAAAAATAGCAATTACAAACCAATGTACAAAAGATTTTGTACTAATACAAACCCCTTTACCGCAAAGCAGCATGTAGGAATTTAATAGCATTTAAGCATGTAGGTATTGAAATAAAATGTTCTATGATTACATATTTTTTGTGTTAATACCAACCACATATTAGTAGAGATAAAAACATTCTTTTCCATTTTAAATATAAATAACCCATTTAACATAGGCCAAAACTAAGAAAATATACAGTCAAAAAGACTGTATATTATCTTAGTTTGATAGTAAAATATAATATTATATAAAACTATCCTATTTTAAAGTAATATATAAAATATCAGATGTTAAAAATAAAAATCAAAAAATACTGAAAGTAAAAATACTCAAAACAAAAAAAAAGAAAGCAACTAACTCGTGAGGTACAAATAACTTCTCTTAAATTTATGTTCATCCAATTATCACAAGTTACCAAATGCCCGTTGTATGTTTCACCATTTTTTAATTCAACAAGCTAAAAGAATTTAATTTTTAAAATTTATAAATAAATATTTATAAATAAAACCTTAAAAGCACATTTAAATTGATTATCTGATGCCATACTAAATATGAAAGCAGTGAAGGCTACATAAACCTACTGATGTATGCAGCCTTAAAAAAACTCATTTTTTAACATAATATTTACATGCATCTGCATTCAACGTAATAAGTTGTGTATTTTTTATTTTTATTTTTCTTAATACGTAAGAACAAAAATTACTATTTTCTCTACTTAATTTCTAATTAACTTCTTTATTTTATCTAAATTAAGATTTTTATTCTAATTTTTTTTTTTGTTCTTTTTTTGCTAATTTTTCAATCTTCTGGGTCATTCCATGTCAAATCAACTTTGTTACCTCAGATTTTGATGATTTTTGAAATACAAGCTCATATCAGATTTTCGAAATACAACCGTAAGGAATCAGACACTAAAATTTGAAGTGAAGAAAACTTCACTTCAAATTTTAGTGTCTGATTCCTTACGGTTTCAGAGATATCAATACTCAGTCCCAATCTCTTTTTTAATTATTTTTTAGTTTACTTTTTAAGCTAATTACATAACGCAATTAGCTTTTACTAAAGTAATGAAATACTTGCTTAATAGTGTTGAAAATTTATATCTAACTATTTTTTAGAGAGAGGAATTAAAAAATGATATCTAAAACACTAAAAAATTAAAGCTTCTTTATGAAAATTCTATTTCAAAATAATGTAACAATTTTTATAAGTTTTTTGATGCCCTGTAAAAATAGAGAACTCTATTTTTCTTTTTCTTTTTTTTTTTTTTGCGCCTAATCTACTCTTTCAATGGTGCATTATGCGCAACAAAGTCATCAAATACGATTTTAGTAAATAAAAAATATAAAAAAACTATAAAAAATTGGATTAATTTTCAAACCATTAAAAAAATGACTGAAATTAAATCCGTAAAAGGTATATACACAAACATTGTACTAAATAAGCGCCGTGAGCTCAAACAAAGTTACAACGAAAACTTCTAAGTTATTGTTAATTTTATAATACAGATCACTAATAGAAACAATGAAAACACTAACCGTATAAACCAACACATTGCCAAACTTTCAAACAAATACCCAAACATTTTTATTATTGGAGACTTTAACTACCCAGATATCAGCAGGCAAAATTCAAAACATACTATTACAAATGCTCTAATTAATTAAATTTACTAAAAATATTTGCGATTCTTTTTTAACCCAATATATATCAGAATCAATGCACATCAGACAAAATCAAAACCTCTCTACAATTGACCTCTTATTTACTTCTGGTGAAAACATGATTTTCTTTTTAACTCATCTAGCACCCATTGGCAAAATTCATCATCAACTACACTACTTAACTGTATCGATTGAATCATTGTAAATATACCGCCATACCATACAAAACATTTATAAACAAAAGGAAACTATGACAAAATCAATGAAGATCTTGCAAATATTAAATTCTGTCCAACATCCAACTCAAACCAACTATGGATCTTTTTCTAATAATCTTAAAACTAATATCAACAGTACCGAAATCTAACTTATAAAATCTAACTTAACAAAATATAAAACGCTCAAAATGGATTGACTCTCAAATAATCAATGAACTTAAACTTAAACGAGCGAAGTATATATTTTTTTACATTTCTGTTCAATATATATTGTCAATATATATTGAACAGAAATGAAGAAACATGTAATGAGTACTGCATTTCACAAACAAAAAAAACTTGCTAACAACATAGACCAAAAACCAAAAGCATTTTACTTGTATGTAAAATCAAAAAGAAAAAACAAAGAAATATTCCCTGACATCCAATACAATAATATTGTTGCAACTTCTAATCTAGATAAAGCTCATCTATTCAATAGTTATTTTGATAATACTTTTTCAAACGAAAAAATAACAGCAGTACCACCATTTGACCTGACATATAAAAATATAAATCCAATTTCAAACAAAATTGATATAAGTCCAGAACTTATTGAAATATACCTCAAAAGTCTAAACTCATATAAATCACCAAGCCCTGACGAATTGCACACAATAATATTTAAGAAAACTTGCTTTCAAATGTCTAAACATCTATCTACTACTTTTAACAAAGCCCTTGAGAGTGGAACAATACCCCAAATATGGAAAGAGGCAAAAACTACACTTAATTATAAATCTATCAGTATAACTTGTACCTCAATAAAAATCTTTGAAAAATTATAAAAAACTATATTATGACACGCCTAATTAACAATAAGTTCACATCAATATGGATTTCGTCCAGATCATTCTTGCTTAACTAACCTTTTAACTGTAAGTAATTAATAGACATCATCACTTGATAATAATATTCCCATCAACAATATTAATGTCGATTTTGCCTTTGAAAAAGTTCCACATAAACTTCTTATTTCTAAACTTATAGTTTATGGTGTAAATGGATCAAAACTATATTGGATTAAAAACTTTCTAAAAAATGGTAGACAAAGAGTTGTTAATGGTAAACACTCAAATTGGGTACCAGTAATGATGTTGTGTCCTAAGTGCTGTAAAGAACTTAGGATTATATGATCAAAGAATTATATGATAAGAATTATATCAATTATATGAACAAAGATTGTTGGCATTATATATGATAACTGTAAAATACAGGCTACTTTGTACAAATCTAATAAACGTCTATAAATGGTGTATAAATAATAATGGTGATAGAAGTCTATTTGAAATAGATAGCCAATTTATTACTTGCAGTCGTGTATGTAAACTAAAAAAACATTTTTTATGATTAAATCTACATATGAATTTTTTTTCTTTAAGAATAACTAATAAATGGAACTCTCTTTCAATGACATTGCATCAGCATTATCTCTAAAAACGTTCAAGCTGCTTCTAGATAATCATCAGAAAAATAAATGGCTTCTCTATGACTAATCCATATTTTATTTTCTATTATTTATACTTATAACATTTTATTTTCTATTAGTTATACTATTATTGATGCAAACTATGAAAAAAATGAAAACTATAAAAAATGTTTTTTATTATTTGAAATTAAGAATATTAATTAGTGAACTAATGAAGTGCATTACTACTGTTGCTTTTTGTTTATTTTTTTAATGATTAACCAGGACTTGTTTTAAATAAAAAAGTGCTTAACACATAAGCTTAACGCGATATTTGACGTAATAAAATTATCTTTTTTTTTATAGACGTTAAGTGTTTTAACTACTGCAATAAATAAATAACCACTAACTAGTTCAATTTAATTAAAATCGTGTAAATTTAAAAAAATAAACTTAAAAAAAATTGTGCAAACTTAAAAAAATACTCAACTAAAATAATATATTTAAGTATATTTAATAATTTGAATCGTATCTGTTTATAATAAACGTTCGTAAAAATTTGTTTATTAAAAATTAAGTTCCTTAACTTATAAACAAACTCAAAAGTATTTTCATTCTACGTATAATTACAAAAAAAAAACTTTTTTTTCTTCGTTTGTAAGCAATTCAACTTAATAAAATAAAAAAAGAATAAATAAGAGGTAATCTTTGTTAAGAACAAATTTAATTTATTTATTAAACTATATTTTTCTTTTTATTTATATATCAACTTAAATTAAATATAGTAACATATTTTACATATTTTAACATGACTTGTGTTATTTATAAACCATAGGGCAGCTGCCCTTATGGCACAATTGTTTTAGGATAATATCAAGGACTACTATACGGAAGGACGCGCAAAGTGGATTTCCTGACTCTGCTAGCGAAGGCCATTATTTTTATCAAAGTTAAATCTTTAACGTTCCTGTAACATTTTTTTTTAATTTTAACCATAATCATGGTGAACAAATATGGCGTTGTAAATTGTAAAGGGAATTATAATAAACTTAATAAGTGTTGTATCTTTAAATTACCGAAAGATGAAATTGAGAAACAGAAATGGATTAATGTTCTTCCTTTACATAAAAATTTTATTATTGAGCAATTTAAATTTTTTATATGTGAAAAATATTGGCCTGAAAATACAGAAATGATTAAGCTGCCTGGTGGCTATACTCGACCAGCATGTGCACCTTGTATTTTTAATGTTCCTTTTTCTTGTTTACCAACGCCAAAGCCTGTGCCTCGCCAATCTAAACCTGAGGACATGCAATTAAATTATTTCATCAAAAAAGATAGAATAAATTCGTTTTCTGATTTTTATCCTGACAATGAGTTGCACAAAAAGTATAAAAATATAGTAATATCTCGACAAGACGATAAATTCATATGCATTTTTATGTCAAAAATTTCAAAAAGAGTTTAGTGACGATTATTGTTTATGATAAGTGTACCTTGTGTTCACCGCTAACCTTTTAAGCTTTTAAACATGGAATTTCCGTTCCATTAGCTAATATATTGAATCCAAACAATGGCTTAATCTTCTATTCACAATTTTTTGAAACAATCAATTTAGTTCATAATTATAATCTGCATGTTAATGATGTTATTGAAAAGATGACAAATACTCTTTCAGAAAATGAATTTGAATTAAATGATGATAAGAAACAAAAAAAATTGAATTTTATTACAAGACAACTCAAACTCTTGTCTAAAAAAAGTTTCTCTATAGCTGATTATTGCTTTGCAATCGAGTCTTTTTATAACTGCAACTACGATCAACTTCGTGATTTTTTAGTCCTTCCAAGTAAACGAAAGCTTCAGTCTATAATTTCTGCCACTAACATTGACCATGTTTTACAAAAAACATTTGAAAACGTAAAGAATAATCAACAGAAAAATGTTATTTTGATAGTTGACAAGGTAAAAAATAGGCCAACAGTTGCTTTTTCGTGAGGAGTTTTAAATGGGATGACAAGAAATGATCCAGAATCTAAAGCAACCTCTATGCTATGTGTCATGATGAAATGCTTACATGATGGACCTAGTTTAATAATTTCTGTTATCCCTGTTCACAAACTAACATCATTGTATCAGTTCATTGTTGTGAAAGAAGCTGCTATTATAGTTGAAAAACATGGTGCAATAGTTTTAGGATCTGTAACTGATAATCATAAAATTAATCAGCAATACTGCAATATTTTTAACAGAATAACTGACTATCAGGCCATTTATTCATTAGACAATCAGCGTGTTTTGTTTCTTTTATTTGACGCAGTTTATCTATTTAAATGTATTTGCAATAACTGGATAGCTGAAAAGTGTCAAAAGCTATCTCATGATAATAAAACCATAGCTTCATGTGAAAAGTCTATATCAATACGAGAAAGAGAACATTTTAAAAACAGTTCCTTTATCCTATGCTGCTGTCTATCCATCAAGACTTCAACTACAGAATGTGCTTATGAAACATCCAAAAGGAGCTTATGAAACAACCTCTTTTATCCAGCAGATTTTAGATTGGTGGAATATTGTTAATGTTTCTGCATAAGGGCAGGATGTTAGGTTGAGAGATCACAACCGATCTGTGCAAGATAAAAATTCAAATAATCTTCAATTGTTTTTAGACATTATTAAATGTATGGAATCAGGACATGGGCCTAAACGAGTTCAGTGCATTACCCATAATACCAAAAAAGCCCTTGTGCAAACTACTGAAGGATTGATAGCTCTCTGCAAACATTTGTTTTCAGTTGGTTTTGATTATGTTTTGCTTTGTGAGCTACAAAGTGATAGAATAGAAGGAGAATTTTCTGTTTATAGACAATCAATAGGGGCAAATGATTTTATGGCAGCTGGTGATGTTTTCTCTGCTTTTAAAAAGCTTTTATATCGAGCTTTTTAAAATAAGTTTTGATTTTGTTATTAACAATAACGTAAAATTATTTTAATCGTATTTCAGAATTTTGATTTTATAAAACGTTGTTGAAGCCAATTTTAGTTATTTATGAGTTAAGTGAGAAATATTGACTGGCCTTCGCTAGCGGAGTCAGGAAACCGACTTTGCGCGTCCTTCCGTATAGTAGTCTTTGGATAATATTTTATTTTGATGAAGATCACATAACTTACATTTGATTTTAATAACGTAAGTCTTCTCTTTTTCTGTGATCATCGCATCGGCAAAGTCCCAAGATTTGAAAGTTTTTAAAGGAAATCTTTTGTCCTTCAAAATACAATCCATATTCGAACTTTAAACAATTTAGAGAGAATAGAAATATAAAAGGTTTTTATATACTAGTTTGTCTTGTTTTATAAAGAAAAATACATATTTATTAATAAAAAATAGAGACTGCCATTAAACCAAAACATGCCTTAGTATTTATTTAACGGAATCTGTAATGTGCACGTGCATAATGAAACCTCTATTATATAAATATATTCAACGTAATATTAGTGTCCTCAGCGGATGTTATAGTCTACTCGTGATTTCTTTAGCTTATAATATAACTTGATCTATGAAAAAAATTTATTGAATCGCACGCAGAAGAAATTTAACAAATTGTTTTCATTCAAAAATTGCGAGTAACAGGTAATTTTTTTTTTCTGTGCTGGCCCCTTCCCCTGCATAACTTAAAAGCAAAGGTATCTATATACCTTTAACTAATAAGAAAAGCAAAGAGTAATAATTAATGAAATAATTTTTAGAAAAATACAAATAGATTGTTCATTCATTAGCACATTTTTTTTAATATCTTGAAAAAATATTTTTGTTATCATGATAACAAAAATATTAAGACGTTTTTTGATATATTAAAAAAATGTCAACCCTTAATTACAAATTTTTTGCAAATGTTTTTTAATATGAATTTAGTAAAAAACTCTTAAAAAATCTATACTACAAAAAACATTTATATTCTGTATTAATAAGTTTGGAATATAGATTTTTTTAAAGTTTTTTACTGAAAACTTTAAAAAGTTACTACTTTTTATTAAAAACATTTGCAAAAAATTTGTAGTTAAGGATTGACGAACAATTTTTCATGTTACTAAATATTTGAATAAAAAGTTTAGCGTAAAATTAAATGTTATAAAAACATATGATATATCACGATGAAAAGTTACTTCAATTATTTTTAACGTAACTTCTTTTTTCTAATAAATATTTTTACATATTGTTCATATTCAAAAGTTAATGTGGTTTTTTTAAAAATTAATTACTTCTTTTATGTTACCGCTAATTTAAAAGTTAAAAAATGATAAAAAGTAGCTTAACCAAAACAGCTCTACGCGTACGTAAAAACCGCTTAAGACGTACGTAAATCGCTCTAGGCGTAACGCTTTAAAACAAGGCCAGATTAACCATGGCTTCACATTTGTATGTTTGGGACAAGTTTCAATAGTACTATTCTCTAAATAGTACTATAATAATTATACTATTTTATTTGAATATGACATAAAAAAGTTGAATCAATTTTTTACAACCTCTTTGGCATTATCCTGTTTTGCAGATTAGAGCTGAGAAATTTATTGTATTACTGCTCATGGTAACATTATCAAGTTTCTCCTATGCTTACTTACAATAAAATTGGGGATTTTATTTTAGAGTTTTTCCTTTATTTAGGTAGTTTGCCATACCAGAACTTAAGAGCCTCATCTGAAAGTAATGATTAGAGTAATGATTATTACTGAAAGTAATGATTACAGTAATGATTACCTTTTGCAAAGTAATGACAAAGTAATGATTACTTGGTTTGTGGCAAGTAATGAAAAATGTAATCATTACTTTTTTTGGAAAGTAATGAGAAACGATATATAATAAATAAATTAGACCATACTTTGGCCATGCTCCACCATCATGAAGCAGTCAAGCATATTTTTCTTAAATATAACACCACACTGCCATCAAGAGCTACAGTCGAAAGACTTCTTAGCAACGGATCATTAATTGTGACAAAGCAGAAAAACAGACTGATTGATGATTTGTTTGAAAAACTTTTATTGCTGAAGCAAAATGGAAAGATTGAGTTAAAAAACCTCAAATTATTATATATAATTTGTATATATAATAATAACACATATAAATATATAATAACATATACATATATATATATATATATATATATATATATATATATATATATATATATATTATAAGCTTCAATGTTTTGCTTCATGCATCTGCACTGTAGAAGTCAGCTTCACGATAAGCACAAACAGTCCATAGGCACAAAGACTTTTATTAAATACCTATTCTAATTATATGGCACAGCCATACATGATAGAATATTATATATATATTATGTATTATAATAATTGTTTTTATTTTTTTTGTGCATCTTTCAGCGAATAGTAATGGGAAAGTAATGATTACATGCCGAAAGTAATGGAGAAGTAATCATTACTGTATCAGTAAAAAGTAATGGAGAAAGTAATCATTACTTTTCCAGTGAAGAATAATGGCCAAAGTAATCATTACGAAATCCAAAGTAATGGGTACAACACTGCTTGTAGTACTAGTTTAATTATACAAAGTGCTATGTCACTATCATTTTTTTTTGACATCAGAATAGTGGGTTAAACAGCAAATTCAGTTCAAAAATTAATATTATATACTTAAGTTATTTAAATTAAGTTATTTAAGTAAAGTTCTAATACTTAAAAAAATATATTTCAAAAACATAAGTAGATCAGAAAACACAGTAGCTTAAAAAACACAATTTCTTTGCAAAAGACAGATATAACAAAAAAATGCTATATAAGTCATTTTAGTTATATAAACAAATATCACTTAAAAAGAAGAGCCTGTGTTATAAAAATATATATATATAAATAATTTGTAATTGTGTAATTTGTATTTAAAAACCACATAAACAATTCAGCTCCATCTCAAATGTTATCAGATATCAAAAAACAATTAAAAAAAAAAGTACATTATTAATAAATAACTGATCTTATGTTGGGTTGCAGTTTGCAAACTTAAACTTAATGACTTGTCTTTAATCCAGCTGATCATACTTTAGTTAAAAAAAATTTTTATTAATTAAACAAAATAAATTATTTTAGAAAACATACCATTGGGTGATTTTGAGAAGTCTGCAACAGCGTTAGTGGCAACTATAAAAAAGTAACATTAACAATAAAACTATATTTATATATGTTAATAGTAATTATAAAACAGTATTAAAAATGTATAACAAAGCAGATCTAATATTTTTTTTTTTAATGGCTTGTGTCTTTAGTTAAAGCTATAACGAAAACAATGTATTAAATAAAATTAAGTCGTTAGGTGAAATTAAAGTTCAAATTAAAATTAATTTACAAGTTCCATGAAATACACATAAAATATTTGTAAACAAGTTGCATATGTTAAAAGGTACATGTTTTGTACCTTTTTGTAACATGTACCTTTTAATATATGCAACTTGTTTGCAAATATGTTTTATATGGAACTTGTAAATTAGTATTATGTAATATGAATTGCTAGTTTGAAAAAGGGGACAAGTCCTGCAAAAATTCATATAACACGTCCCCTTTTTCAAATTAACGATTCATTTATACATAAAGAAGTCTAATGATTTCTACTCAAAATTTTGTTTCGCTTTTAGTCAAATATATGTACACAATATTAAAAAAGAAATTGCACTTACAACCATTGTGCTTTTGTAAATGATCTGTTATTTTATTGAAATGTTTTATGTATGCAGTACAAATTAGAGTTTTGGATTAATTAGTCTAAAAAAAAAAAGCTATTTAACTAATATTAGATAATTAACAATGAAAATAAAAATAAAAAAAACTTAAAGTTGCTTAACTATTTTGAATTATTGAGATTTTTAGACAATACTTATAAAAATGATATAACAAAATATTTTAAATTGGACAAGCCTAAATCGGATTTCATTAAATTCGCTATAAAATATGTTCCGCAGACCATTTTCAGGGACCGTATGTAACTTTATACTGTTAAGCGGAGTTCGTGAAAATCTTGTTTTTTTTCATCATTTTATTTTATCGTTTATTTTGCACGACGAGATCAGGGCAGTAACGTAGCGAGACGGGGACCAAAGTGGCTTTTGCTTTAGGCGTACACGATCGAAAAGGCGTCAAAAAAAAAAGCGCTGTTATGAGCGCTTAATAAACATATTTTTTTTAAAAAACTGATTTTTTTTTTATAAAAAGGCGCTTTTTTTGCTATTTTGGCCCAAAACGCTAATGACCCTCGCTACGCCACTGGATCGAGAAGAAATACGACTTTAAATTTAATTGCAGATTTTTGCAGAAATACTCGCACCACCCAGGATCTAAACCTCATTTAAACTTCATCTTTAAACTGATAGCAAAAAAAAATTATTATAAAGTTGCAAATAAAAAAAAACTCAAAGGTTTGATCAAACTCTTAGAGCGATACAACAAATTCTTTGGTTGGTTACTTAGGTTCCTCTAAAGTTGTTTAAGAAGCCAGATAGCTGAGCAGCAGTGATGCAATGGTTTGTATTTTGGCTCAGAACGATACAAGTTTTGCTACAAAACGATACTCAGAATTATACAAATTTGTTTCACGCTCACCATGATATAAAAATGTTGTTTAACATAGTGAATATGAAACTCTTAAAACTTTCTGAATGGCTAAATGCAAATAAATTATCAATTAATTTAACTAAAACAAATTATACATTTTTCCATCGCTTTCATTAACGCGATAAAATCTCCTTAAAATTTTCAATACTTTGTATTGGTAGTCAAGCTATAAAAAGAGAACACTCGTTAAAATTTCTAGGCGTACTCCTTAACGAAAACGTAACTTAGAAAGATCACATATATTATCTTGAAGATAAAATCTCGAGAAATATAGATTACTTTATAAGGCGAGGTCTTTATTAAATCAAACTTGTTTAAAACTGTTATATTTCTCCTTTATTCATTGTTATCTGAATTACGCAAACATAGCTTGGTGTAGCATAAATCAAAACAAAATTAGAAAAACTCTTCAATAAGCAAAAACATGCTACCAGAATATTATCTAATGTAGACCGTTTTACACACTCCAAAGAACTATTTATAAAGCTAAATATACTCACCGTCTACTAAATAAACATATATCATCTTTTAATTTAAGGAAAAACTTAAAATATATTTTACAAATATTTTTCCCCTCCCTTCTTTAAAGGAACTATAGTTCTTGAAGTTGGGGGCTTTTCCTATCCTATTTTTGGGCCTCTCCATATCTCTGGGCCCCTAGAATGGGTACCCAAAAAATAAAAATAAAAGGACCTCAATATGTAATATGAGCCCCTCTAATAATAAAATTGTGGTTACGGCTCTGATATTTTATACGGCTTTTTGAATAATCTTACTATATATCTAATTTCAAAATGTTTCATTCTAATTTCAAAATGTTTCATTCTAATTTCAAAATGTTTCATTCTAATTTCAAAATGTTTCATTCTAATTTCAAAATGTTTAATTTTTTCCATAGAAAAGTACTTTTGTAATATTGTTTTATAGTTCAGGGGAAATATTATTGAAACAAAAAAATAGAATCTTATTATAAATAAAATGACATTAAAACAATTAAAAAATGATTTTTTTTAATTGTTTTAATGTCAGGAATATAAATTCTTAAAACAAGAAAAAAATACATAGTTTTAGGAATATAAGTTCTTGAAATGAGAAAAAAAAATCTTATATTAAGAATATAAATTCTTAAAACAAGAGAAAAAGTTCTTGAAACAAGAAAAAAATTCTTGTTTTAAGAATAAAAATTCTTGAAACAAGAAAAAGAGTTCTTATATTAAGAATAAAATTTCTTAAAGCAAGAATTTTGATTTAAAGCAAGAATTTTGAATTTTGCTGTGTAAGGTACAAAAGACGGCATCTTTTGTTATTAAATAACTGGGGAAAAAATCTGTTTATTTAATCTCAAGTTTATATTTATTCTCAAGTTTATAATTAAAAGTTGTTTATAAAATTATATAAAAAAAATTTATCCGACAAAATGTTTGAAAAAAATAATTTTTGCAAGATAGTATTAGGACGTGGTCTTAGTTAGTGACTTGAACTTTATAAATACTAGGAATTTAAAAAACGGATTGTAATAACTTTAAAAGGCTAGATAGTGCTTTTACAAAGATGTTTGCCCATGAAAAAAGCGATTCAACAAATGGTAGCTAAGACATTTTTTGAAATTATACTTTTATCTTGATTTTATTTAAAATACAATTCACAAGTATTTATAACAAACTTTTTAAAAAATTGTTTACTATACATAAACAACTCTGTGTAAAAAGCTCAACTAAACCATTTAGACTTTATCTACCCTTTGCTTTGCAATCTCTTATAACCTTTTAGGGACCTTAGTAAAGAAAAGTTTTTTTGCTTGTAATGCTTCAGTATTATTAGATTGGAGTTCATTATTGAAATTTAACCAGTTGAGTAAAGTTCGACCAAATTTTCCACAGTTAAAGTTCACATAAAAAGGCCTTGGTTAGGCAATAATAAATAAACCTGATAAAGCCTATGGTTAAATAAAAGGCATGATATGAAGACTGAAAAATATGGTCTTTCCAACTACGTATAACAAAAATACTGAATTTTTGAAATTTTTTTTTAAATAACCTAAAGATTAGGACAAAAAAACTAAAAGACAGGTACTTTATAACACTTTAAATTTGTTGAACATCGTATTAAACTCCGTACTCAGATGGGATGGTCTAGAAAAAGGGCAGTGATAACCAATTTAAAATGATTTGAAATGCACTTTTTAGGCTTTTAAAGCATATTTGAAAGGTGTTAAATAATAATATTAAGTATTAACAATATTAGGCGCTGAAAAAATTACATAATTGTGTTTGACGTAATAATTGTGTAGAAAAGGGCACAAAAAACATTTCAAATTATTTCATAACTTAAAGAAGTAACCCTTTAAAAATAAAGATAATAATAATTTTCATAACTCTCATAAAGGATAAATATATTGGCTAAGTAATAACATATACTTAATAAGTCCAAAATTTGGATATAGACATTCTATTTTCTATTTGCCACAAACGCTTGATTGTCCAAGAAAAGCAAGGAACAAAAACTAGTTTTTTTCGATACATTTATAAACAGCTTCTTCTTGTAATGATTTTTGTCTTCTTTTCTTATATGCAAAGGATATTGCGATACCGAAAATTCTACATCATTAATATAATGTTCTGTTGTCTAATTTTAAAGGAAATGATGTTTTTTTCGATGTTTCTCTAACTTTTTCTTCGAAATGCAATATAAACTTGTAAACTAAGAAACATTTTAAACTAATCAACGGCTTTATTTAAAGTTTAATAAAACACAAATCAAGCCGGGTATATGTTGAAAGGGCAATCCAAATTTAATTTTTCATATTTAAACATTTTTTTTGTTTCCTCATTCCTAATTCAAAATAAAAGTTAACAAAAAGATACGCAGTTTAGTTTAGTAAAACTGGGGGCGTCCATTGATATATTTTAATGTATACGTGTTGTTACTAACTAATTTTGCATCCTCGTGATAATTAAACAATAAAACTTAACATATATATATATATATATATATATATATATATATATATATATATATATATATATATATATATATATATATATATATATATATATATATATATATATATATATATATATATATATATATATATATATATATATATATATATATATATATATATATATATCTTATACTGCCGATTTAGGTAGGAGGTGTGACGTCATACTGAAATAGCCTGTTGCCGGGGGTCTTCAGTACATACATCGACTGACAAATAACCTTAGTCGCAGTGGAGTGCTGCTACATAGCCTAAGGGTTTTGGGATGGGTCAGTAACTTTTTCATTCATTATTCTTCGTTTTCCATCTTCGTTTTCTAAAAAACCTATATCGATTTAGATGAGCAAAAAAAGTGAGCAAATTTAAATGGATTTAAGTTAAAAAGGATGAGAAACTTACTTAATCAACGATCAAAAAGTTTTTAGGTCAAAAAATGTATCAAATAAATGAAACTACATAAAATATAATAAACATAGAATGTTATACATTGAATGAACATCGAATGAACGTTAATAAAAACTTATGCTGCCAATCTACCTTGGTTACCTTGGTTACAGTGCATGCAAAAGTGTTAGCCCTGATTATCATATTACTAATAACATCAATTATCATGTTATTGATCATCGATTATGATTTGGATGGCTTCACGTCAAACCAGTCTTTACAACAAATATATTTAAACAAGATAATTGCAAGCAAAGTTAAAATATTTTTAACAAAAGCCGCTAAAAACTAAAAGAAATTATGGACTTAAAAATTTAAAGTATAGTAAATTTTGTTTGCAAAGAAAAATTGCATAATTTTTTTTTTTTTTTTATATGGACTCATTTTTTTTTGTTGAAAAGGCTGGTTTGGCGCTTAACCATCCATTTGGCAGATTGTTCTATTACGTTTTTTATAAATTTTTTAGAAACCACAAATAGCGTTTTTGATACAGTTTGTAACACCAAACTACGCGCACTTAAAAACTTTATCGAAACAAAATTAATTTCAGAAACCACACTTTTTAAAAATATTGTAGCGGTGAAAGAATGACGCATTACTTTTTTTGTTAAACTCCTTTTAGTATTTTTTTCCATTAGTCAGTAAAAAATTGTGATAACTCAAAACAAAGAATCAAAAAATTGTAATAAAGAATTTGAAAATCATAACTATTTAAAACTAAAAAAGTACAACTTTTAAAGCACAATTTATTTGTGGTGTGTCAATTAAATGTTTGCGAGTAACGAACTTGATTCTCAACGATCGAACGTTCTTGCAACCCATGCTGCAGTAGCAACCAGTGATCCAACCGCCACTGAAGTAGGATTAAGGCTGTTAAAAAATGGAGCAAATGCTGCTGAAGCTGCTGTTGGCGTAGCAGCAGTTTTAAGTTTAGTAGATCCTGGGTCAGGGGGGTTAGGTGGCG